GCAAGCAGACATGACCCTTAGGCACTTTAGGAATGATAGGGACTCATCCCAAATTTAGGATAATTCACAGTGTATTTTTGAGTGACCTGGTAGGTTTTGAAAGGACAAAAGTGACTCAGCTATCTCCAAGATAATTGTCAACCACAGTATATATTTGTGACATCAAATACTTGCATAAAGTCATCTGAGGGGTACCATGTTCATCATAGCCTTCATGAGAGCTCGTCTTTTGTAATGATGATGTAGTATGATCAATGTGTGAATATTTTTAGCCTCTGGGAATAAGATACTATCTTACCACAAACACTAAGAAAATTTTAAAGCAAATACCATAAGGTGCAACATGCCATTATGTAGATAATATGTAACTAATAAGAAAGAACAGGAAAAGACTGAAAAATTAACAGGATCTTTCTGTATTGTAAGTATGCAATTCCTGCTGATGGTAAAAGAAAAGAGATTCGGTAACTGAAGGGATCTCATTGGCCTAAACACTGCACGTGTCCTCATGTTTCCTAATGGATCATTTTGCACAGTAGTTACAGTTCTAAAAATGTCATGCAATTATGATTTTTTTTTTAGAAAACAAATAATGCAGCTTCATTTCAAAAATTGCTTTATTTTCCTTTACTAATTGTTCATCAGTTGATAATGGCTTCTCAAACTTTAGTGTACTTAGCTCTTAAGAAGTAAATGACTTATAAAATATTTCAGGCTATACTTTAATGAATGTTTTTAAATCACAGAAGGATTCATTATTCAGATATTTATTGAGTTTCCAGCACATGAGCAGTACTTTATAACAGTCTCTGAGGACCTCAAAGGTGAGCTCCCGACCCCTCAGGAAACTTGGGTTAAATATGGTACAGGGAAAGATGGTACAGGTGGTCTTTTTGCAGCCTGAATTATCACGTCCTAATATTTTGCCAAGTCAGCTTATATTTTCTGTATCAGGATTTCTTATGTCATAAATATGATTATTTCAGCTTAAAATAAAGCTTTGGAAAGCACAATAATTACTTCCTCAGAGAACTGGCTTACAAAATGTTCCCCTAAATGATCTATGAACCATAACTGAAAGCCCCAAACAATATTTTATCCTTAAAGCAGCTTCTTAGACGTAAAGAAATGACTTGCTTGCTGTTGATTTGTCCCACTAGGCTAGCTGCTATCAGCCCACAGTGGGGATTACAGGCCTCCAGGATGGTTGCTGAAATCCTGTGGAACAGGCAGTGCTGCAGGACCTGCTCCTTGCGTATCTACCACGCGCACATTCAAGCATATGTTTTTGGACTTTCCTCTGATCACTCGCCTCTCTACTGCTCATTGTTTCCTCTCTTAAAAATTGCTGAAGACAAATTTGAGGCCTGCCAGTTCACCCCTTCAGTACAGTTTCTGATGTAAGCCATCTTTGTATCTCTGATTGATTGGCTGGCCAGTAATATTCAGAACAACTCTTTGATAAGAAGCCAGTGATTGACAGTGTTTATTACAGGGTTGCACATGATAGCCACAATCATTGGTAATAATCTAAGTGCCCAACAGGAGGAGTTGGTTATACGAATCATTACTCCTCCAATCAGCAGAATTCTGTGTGACTACAACAAAGGTCCTTTAATCAGAGCTCTTAGACTGGCCACAAATCCTATATATTTGAAATCATTGGGACTTTTTTTAAATCACGGAAGAGCTTGGTTACTTCCCGGTGCTCTTTTTGCCAGGATAAGGGATTTCCTCCTGGTAAAGTAGTTTGGGCACCGCCCAGCTGTATCTCTGGGACTCTGTGAATGTCCCTATCTGGAGTGTGTTTGGTGACTTACTTCCTGTGAGGGAACTTGGCCTGGCCCTTGAAGGATGGTTAGACAATTTAGATGGTCAGAGGAGAGAAGAAAGGTCTAAGGCAAAAGTGTGAAGATATGAGTATATACGGTGTGTTTACCAAGTGGGAAGTAAGACCGTCATTGATTCAGTAAAGCTGGATCTCCCATGTGCCAGACACTGTGCTAGGAACCCAGAAGACAGTGGTGGAGGGGGTGGGCCCAGGCCTGTCTTCGGGAGCTCATGTTGTGGCAGAGCTGAAAATGCACCAAGAGATAGGGACAAATCTGTTTGGAATATATGTATTTCCATGTATAGCTATATCTCCAAATATATAGATTTAACATATATATTCCAAGTATATGTAAATAGAGTGTATAATTATATCTCTCTAAATATATTTGGAAATATACTTGCAAATGCATTTGGAAAAGGGGGTCAAGGTGTAGACGATTTCAAAGGCTAGATTCCAGATTTCAGACCTCAGCCTATGAGAAACAGGCAGCGCTTTATGGCTTTTGAACAAAGAAGTAATAGGACAAAAGTGCTTTTTAGGAAGACCAACATGCTGTCCATAAGAAAGATACACTGGCAGAGGAGAAAGACAAGAAATTAGGAGACAAAGCCACAGACTCTTCCTTTCAACCAATATCTGCTGTATACCCAGTTTGTTTCCTTAATAGATGTTGCTGGTGTGCCAGCCTGGGACAGTCCCTGCACTAGGCACTGGGTGGACAAACGTGGACAAGAGAGGCCTGGCCCTCTCCACTTGGACTGGATATTCTGGTTCGGAAGATCGGCAGTAGATGTGTGCAGCTGACACATGCCCTGAAAAAAATAATGAGGAAGGGGAGAAGACCTGCTTTAGAGTGGAGGCCTAAGGCAGGAGAAGGAGTCAGCCATGCCAAGCAGAGGGACTAGCAGTTCAGGAGAAAGAACAGCATGTGCAGATGCCCTGTGGCCACAGAGAAGCTTTGAGGCAGGGGGAGAGCTCAGCCACGGGTTTGGAAAGGCAGGAAGGGTCCAGAAGATGCCGAGTACTGTTGGTCACCAGAAAGTCTGGGTTTTTTTCTGAGAGCAGGCAGAAGCAAACCAGTGTTTGAGGGCTGTTGGTCAGGCTGCTGTCTGGCAGGAGATGAGAGGGTCAGGTGTTAGAAGCAGGGAGACCTGTTAGGAGGTTGTTGCAGTCCTCCAGACCATGCTTGGCTGACTCAGGAGTAAGGACTGGGAGTGGCTGGCACCAGTGGGAATAAAGAAGGAAGAGCAGGCTGGGCACGGTGGCTCACGTCTGTAATTCCAGCACTTCGGGAGGCTGATGCGGGAGGATCACTTGAGGCCAGGAGTTCAAGACCAGCCTGAGCAACATGGCGAAACTCTGTCTCTACAAAAAATTTTAAAATTAGCAGGGCATGGTGGCATGTGCCTGTAGCTACTGGGGAAGCCGAGATGGGAGGATCGCTTGAGCCTGGGAGGTCGAGGCTGCAGTGAGCCAAGATTGTGCTACTCCACTCCAGCCTGGGCAACAGAGCAAGACTCTGTCTCAAAAAAATAGCAATAATGATAATAGAGAACAAGAAAAGAAGAAGGAAGACCAACACGCGGAGTGCAGGCAGATCAGGACGAGAGAACTCAATGTCTGATAGGTGGATGGATGTGGAGAGTGGGACAACCAAACCTCAAGGCCACATTTTCCAGGCTTAGCGACCACATGGACCTCAGTGTCCTCACTGCAAATGCTTAGCACATGCCATTTCCTTTACTCCTTTCTCTTCCATTAGCAGCTCTGAACAAGAGAGGCCTGGCCTGGCCCCTAAAAGACCTTCAGAGGTCTTTTGGAATCTAGAGATTAATAACACTAGTTGAGCTTTTTCTATGTGCAACTTGCAAGGTGCTTTATAGACAATGTTTTCTTATACATGGCTTAGAGCAGTCCCTTGAGGGCGCTCTTGTTATCTTTGTACCCCAGATAAGGAATCTGGAGCTCAGCAAGGTTAATAACTTCCCAGAGTCACAGGGTTTACCCATGGCAGGATCTTGGTTAGAGCAGGGATCAGTCTCACTCAGAAGCAATCATCTTGAACCACACCGCAGCCTCCCCTGACCCGTGAGTATCCCAGAATAGTTTCAAGTCTCCCCTACCTCTCGAAGCCATTGCTCTAGGATTGACCAGCTGCAACACACCTTTGTTGGAAGCTTCAGTCAGGGCCTGTGCCCCAGGCCAGACCCTTCCTGTGCCCTGTACCTACGGGAACTGAAGACTGCCATCTAGTGGCCATTGCCTTCTTTTTTCTTTTGCTGTTAAAAGAAAGGAAAACGGAGTTCCCACATAAAAGACAGGCCTGCATATTTATAGAATCACACCCTGTAAACAGGAAACTTCTCAGTCTTAGAGAAGGAGCCCAGCAACATAAACAGCATATTGCCAATGAGTTCCCCCATCCATTCAACAAACACTTAAATACACACACACACATTCTATTGGAATGTAGGCTCCCTGAGACGGGAATTTCTTTTGTCTGTATTGCTAATGAACCTGGAGAGCTTAGAGCAGTGGCATTTGCATAGCAGACATGCAACAAATATTTATTGAGTGTGGAATGAATGAATGTCTGACATTTAGTATATCTTTACTATATACCAGACACTTGACATGTACATTTTCTCATTTAGTCCTAATGATAACTCAAGAGATAGAGACCATTAGCATGTCCAGTCCTCAGATGTGGAGACTGAGGCACAGAGAGAATGGGAAGCTTGCCAGCTTTAGGGAGAACTAGCTTTGATCCAGGTTTTCTGACATTAGAGACCGTGTGTTCCCTCCTTTCGAGGGAACCACTGGCCAGTTCCCTCCCATGTTCTGCCTTTATTGAATGGAAGGCTCCCTTCCCAAAGTGTTGAGACAGAGGCCATCAATGGAGGGAATGGCACTAGCTAACTCTGGCTGTGTGACTTCCAGTGTCCCTGAACCCCAGATTCCTTGTTGAGTAAAGGAGGAGACTGAGTTAGGACCCCTGCCTTCCCTTCCAGCGTCATCATTCTGCTGTTCCTGTGACTCCCAGGGAGCGGATGTGAGTAGAAGAGAGAGGACCACTTGTTGCTAGGCAACCAGCACCCACCTCACCCATGTTGCCATGGTGATGATGAAAGTTGGGCTGATGGGATTACCAGCTCCTGCTAATTGCATATGAGCGCTCAGGTTTCTGTCTCTTTCTTGCCTGCTTCCTTGCTCTGACTTTCTCATTCTTCTAGGAACTGTAGAGAGATTTCCCCCTCTCCTCCATCTGCAGCCTCCCTGAGGCAGCCTTAGTGCAATGGAAAGCAACTGGGAATGGAGCCTGTCTGTGTGTCTGAATAGCTGTGTGACCTTGGGCAGGTTACCCAGCTTCTCTGGGCCTTTCTTTTCTCATTTGGAAAATGAAGGTGTTGGAACAGTGATCCCTGTCTAAGGTTCTTCCCCGCTCTCAAATCCTTTGATGCCTAGGGAGCATGTCAGGGGAGCAGACCACACTGTTACTAGGCAACCAGCAGGCACCCTGCCCAAGTTGCCTTGGTGACTGGATGCTGGAGGGGAGGGGAGTAGCTGCTGCAGCTAATTGCTTAATTATTTATGAGTGCCTCAAGTCCTTCTTGTTGTTTTCATTGCTAGGGGCTGTGGGGTCACCTTCTCTTCCTCTCTTCTGCCACCCCAAGTCGTCTGTGTTGCGTGTCATGCAGTGGGAGAGCACGTTGGTCCGGACCTCAAGCTACCCACGTTCTAGTCCCGCCTCTGTCATTTCCTAGAGCTGTGGCCTCGGGTAAGTCACCTCACCTCTCTGGGCCTCAGTTTCCTCATTTGTAAAGTGATGTGTTTGCTTAGATGATTGCTGAATCCCCTTTCTACCTTGAAATTCTAGTTCCTGCCGTCCAGTTCCCAGATGAGGGAAATTTCCCTAATTTATTATCTTCTAAGAATGACTCTGAAGAGCAATAAAAATAATTAAGTCTCTTACATATTTCAAATAGGAAAGGAATGAAAATTGTGCCCATTGTTCCCTCCTTAGCCATTTTGTATTATCTCTTTTATTAATCTTAAGGTCATTTAAATTTTATCTATTCATATATACCACCTACTTCCAAAAGAAATTTGAGGGATTCAGTGTAAGGTGCATATATGCTATTAGGTCTTTAAAATAGAAGTAGGAATAAATATAAAAATAGTGATGCTTCTTCATTGGCTAATATTGGTGGTGTGATTGAGCACCAAATGTAATTATGAGCGGCCTGGAAGCCAAAGCAAAAAGAGAGAAAGGTATATAATTGCTATTCAGTAAAGAAAAACTGCCAGACTGTTCCTAGTTCTAAATTCTGGAGGGATTTTTTTCATGTGGTACACATTCCTTTTACAGAGACTGCAGATAAAAATTCTTGACTAGCCCTTTTTTTGCTGAGGATATTGTTAAAGGACATAAGGAAGGAGCTAAACTTGACAGTTTGACTAGTTTTAATCATTAGAAAGCAAAACTTCCTCTCTACCCATGCCTTGGAATTTTATATAGATATGTGTCACTTCGTAAATATAAATTTTCAGAATCAACCATTATTTATAAATCAGCTATATATAAATTCATGTAACCACTTTGCAAAGCAATTTGGCAATGTGTATCAAATTTTTAAATGCAGCCAACAATTCTTCTCCAAACTTATTCTGAGATTAGCTTGTGCAGATGAAGAAAGACATAAATATAAAAATACTTATGGTAGGATTATTTATATAAGAAAATGTCTAGAAACCACATAAATGTTGGAGGCTAGTGAATTAAATTATATTACTTCTTTACAATGAATTACTTTGCAGCCCTTAAGATAAAGTAAATCTATATGTTTTGATATGGAAAAATCTTCAAGGATATAATGTTAAGTAAAATAAGGTGCAGTATTGGTATTGAATGCTTCTATTTCAGTTATAAAAAAATACAGATTTATAACTTAATTAATCTAGATATATGCTTGCATGTGCATACTTGCATTTTTCTGGAAGGAAACTGTTGCCAGTGGTTTCCTCTGGGAATGAAGATTGATAGTCTCGGGAGGGAAGGAGACCTACCAGTCACAGCTTGTTTTTACTATGTGGACTTGTTAGTGTTCCATGTAGAGAGGCAGGAGAGTCTGGCAGTTGAAAGTCTAGACTCTGGAGTGGGAATACCTATGTTCAAATCCCAGCTCTCCCACTTACTAGCTCTGTGACCTTGGGGTTATCTTAATCTTATCTCTGTTCCTCATCTGTAAAATGGGTTAATAGTATCTTCCTCATTGGCTTATTGTAAGGATTAAATGAGTTATTAAGGGTAAAGTGCTCAGAGCAGTTTAAACAATGCCATATACCACCCTTCTTGGAAAAATGAAAGGAGATATTAAGCAACAAGATAAATGCATCTAACCAAAAGCACTCTCCTCCGTTTTAGTGTTGGACAGATTTTATAAAATCTGTCATTGCTTCCAACATTGTATGTTATATAGAAGCTAAATTTAAAGCAGGGGTCACAAAGTAGCAGTCTTATTTTTTTTATTGTCACTTTATGTGACCTTGATTACCTTTTAGGGAGGGCATCTACTCTGGGATTCATGACAGTCTATGATGATGCTCTGAAGTCCCTGAACTCGTCTTGTTTTGTAGCTCTTCCATCCCAGCGAATGCTCAAGGCATGAACAGAACACATGCTAGGCCAGGTAGAAAATCAGTGAGGAGATGGAACCCCATGCCCTTCACTGCTCAAGGCCAGAGAGGAACTATCTAGAAATTCAAGTGTAAAGAGGATGTCCATGTTGGTTGCGACATGTGTGTTCACATGCCTCATGCCTTTGCTTTTCTTTTGAAAAAGAAAGTGACAGAGACCTGGGGAGAAGCAGTGTTAGGAGGGTCCCTCCTACTTTGGGCTCAGGAATCTCACCGCCTAAGGGACTTCCTGAGTGCTCAGAGGTACAGGAAGCAGAGCGCTGTGTTCAGAGCTGCCCACTTTCCTCCTTCCTACTCGCAGGTGCTTTAGGGCAGATCTGGATACTTCGGCTGATTTTGGGAAATGTTCTCTGAAGTTAGCCACACGTTAAGCCGGCTTGAGGCCCTCACTGTGGTCACATGGTAGCTCCAGAGGTTGGGATGGGGGCTCTGGCCCCTTCAAATCAGCGGAGTTCGGAAGTATGCTCTCACTAAAAGGAATGCAAAGCCCACCTGCTCCAGCCTCATGCCCCAGTCAATGGTTCTCCTGTTCATTCTTCTGTCTCGCCCTTTGTTCTGTACTCGCGGGCACTGGAGGCTCTTTATCCATTTGGCCATCGGTTCCCCTCTCCATCTATCTGTCACACCCAACTGTGCTTCCATCTGCCCTCCATCCCTCCTTCCCTCCTCCCGCCATCTGCCAGCCTTCCCTCCATCCTTTTGACTGCTGGTATGTCTGTCCATCCCTCCTGCCCTTGCACCACGTGGGTCTGGGGCTCCATCCCCTGGCCCATCCATCCCTCCATCTGTCCCTAGCCTGCCGCTCCATCCCGCTGCCCTTCTGCATGGCTGCAGAGCCCGCCTGCAGACCGTTCCCAGGTCCCTCTCACCCCCGTGGGCCCTCTAGTCCGTCCCCGGCCTCCACTCCAGGCCGGGCCGTCGGTCCCCCACGCGGGTCCCGCGCCTGTACGGGATCGGCCCTCCATCCCTTCGTGGGCCTGTCTTTGTTCGGCGGCCCCGGCCCGGTGGTGCCTCCCACGGCCCCTACGCGCGGCTCCCAGGCCCTGAAGGCTGCGAGCGGCTGGCAGCAGGCAGCGGGCCCGGGGCGGGGCGGGGCGGGGCGGGGCGCGCGGGGCGGGGCGGGGAGGGGCGGGGCGGGGGCCGGGGGTGACTCAGCCGCGCTCGCCCCGCGGTCCGCGCGTCCGCCGGCCTGGCAGGCGGGGCGGAGAAAATGGCGCTGCCCCCGGCCGCCGCGCCCCCCGCCGGGGCCCGGGAGCCGCCGGGGTCCCGCGCAGCCGCCGCCGCCGCCGCCCCCGAGCCGCCGCTCGGCTTGCAGCAGCTGTCGGCGCTGCACCCCGAGCCGGGCGCGGTCCCGCTGCACTCGCCCTGGACCTTCTGGCTCGACAGGTGAGGGGGCGCGGGGCTTGCTGCGCACGGCCCCGACCCGGGTCCTGCTGCCACCGCCGCTTTGTCTCGGCGCGGCCCTTCGCCCCGGCCCCGCTCCGCTGCGGCGCAGACTCCGGCCCCGCCGCGCGTCCGCCTGCGCGTCCCGGGACTCGCCCCGCCGGGTCGGAAGCCAGCTTCGGGCCGCGCCGGGCGGCTGTTGGGCGGCCTCGCCTCCGGGCCGGGGGAGGACCGCGCAGCCCGAAAAGTTTCGGCAACACTTTCTACCTCTTGTTCCCTTCCGAGCGGAACGCGGCGTGCTGGCCGGGCCGTGGGAGAGGGTGGGCGAGCTGGATGGGGGTGGCCGCGTCCCCACTGCAGGGAGAGGGCTGTCCTGCTTACCCCGCGGGGCGCCTGGGAGCTCAGGACACGACCTCAGCTGTGACAGCGCTCGGAAAAGTTGCCCATCCCTTGGGAGGTGTGCGGTGGTGCAATGATTACTGCACGTCGGGCGCCCCCACCCCGTGTCCGGCCGCTGCTGCCGTGGACTCCTCTTCCAGTTATTCCTCATCCACTGGGCAGGTATTTCCTGAACACGTACGGTGGAGCCACACACCTGCTATGCGGTGGAGATTCAGTAATGAACAGCAGCTCACCTTGTCAGGAAGGGGGTGAATTATGGCTTTCTCAGGGTACAACCCAGGTGCCATCTTTTCAGAAAGGCCCCCTGACTACCGTATCTAAGATAGAAACCTTGCTCCATCGTTTTGTATTCTCTTGTCCTTCCTTCTTTTTCTTCCTAATGCTTAATGCAGCCGGATTCTATTATATATGAATTTGTTTACTTTCCGTCTGTCTCCCCAGCTCCTCAACACTTCCCTCAGTTAAGGATAAAAGAGCAGTGGCTTTTTGTGTTTGGACATTTTGGACCTAGAACTGTGCCTGGTCTCTGGTAAGAATACCAGAAATTGTTGATGAATGAATACACGAATGAATGCAAAGCCCCTTCTTAGTGTCTGCCCTGCAGTGGGTGCCCAATGATGACACCTCAAGGTTGTCCCAAGAGCATTTGGAAATTTTGATGAAACCGTGTCTGCTCTGGCTAAGTGTTAGGAAGAAATGTGTGACTGTTCTGAGAAGTTTACTTGGTACACACAAACCTGGTTTGAAAAGGGTTTGCGTAAAATGATTGCAAGATTTTTTTTTAAAAGTGGTATCTTTTTTTGGTGAAGACAATCTCGTTTCTTTTTTCCTTTTGGGTTCTTATAGCACCCGTCTATAAGAATTGTCACTTGCTGCCATTTTCTTTGCCGGAGACCCAAAAAAGTTGGGGGTGGGGGAGATGGAGTGAGTCTTTCAAAACATTTTCACTTTCATTATGGGATGTGAAGAGAGCGTTATACTGTCATAACAAGAGTGCTTTTGGCAGACCTTAGCAGAATGAAATCATGTGTCTGTTTTCATAGGTGTGCTGCAACTGTGCTATTGTTACCTGGTATCTGTTTTCAAGGTGTTAAACCTGGACCTGTGGTCTAAATTGTGAATACTGCAGACTGGTGGAAACAGTATCAAGACAGTTTCTTTTTAACAAGTCTAAAATTAGTTTACATTTAGGAACAACACTTTTAAGGACTCGTCTAAAATGTCAATACTACAGATAACGCAGTCTTTTAAGACTAGTAGCTTAAGATTATAGTAACTTTAATGAAGACACAAACT